ATAAAAATCTGCATATGTGTTGAAGATGCACAGAATTGGTTCTTGTCCTTCCTCCCCAAACAAGACAGCATAACAATTAATACCGAGCAGTCAAATTATTTCCATTTCAAGTTTCAGACTTATTTCAAAATTATTCATGGCATTTTCTTATGGCTTAGAAACTGTATGGTATTTGTAGTTAGAGTCTTATGTTTCATTCTAAAGATTGCTTATTTGAGGCATTTTGAATATTAGCATTGCTAGAAGTTTTTCTTTAATTCTTAAAGAATCAAATTTGGTATGTTTTATAAAGAATCATGGTTTAGTTTGTTATTTTTTCCCAATGTCTTAACAATGAATTTTATATTCATTATATATAGGAAAAAATCTACAAAATATACCTGTGGGTCTTTTTAATAAATAATGCCAACTTTAGTGTTTACACATATTACTATAAAAGGGCACTTTTGTCTGAGTGTAACATTAGGAATTGTATGGTTCCAGGAGTTCTCAGTTCTAATTTGAAAGCGCATGGATTCTACTAGTTAACTTTTCAGTATTCTCCAGCTTTGTCAGGAAAGATGACCCTCATCCAGAACCAACTGTTATAAATCACGAAATTTGTAAGTTTTTATTACTAGTTCTAAAGCACTGATAGGATTATTGACTTTTAATTTTAAGGAAAAAAAAAAAAACCTCCAGAAACACAAGACTGTTTTTAAACTGTATTAGTAACCTGCCCACACACATTACTTGTGAAATAAGCACGAGCAGAAAGCACTAGTAATAATTCCTGCCACCTACGTGCTCTTATTATCAGCACCCTATTTCCCTTTCATGTGGGGGTTTTAGCCATTTATGAGGACCTGGAGAGTCACCTGCCCCCAGTCTTTATGTGACGAAGGTAAGCCTGGGACATACTTTTCATGTCACATCAAAGGGAAGAGCTCACCAGTTTTTTTCTCTTTTGACCTCTCGTGTGACTTAAAAGCTTCCATTTGACACTGATGGAAACAACTGCGCCAACTGAGAAGCAAGCATCTTCAGAATCAAGGAAGGTCAAGTTAGAAAACACACCTGATGCGGTGGTGCAGCGTCTTCTCTTCTGGAAACTACTGAATAAAATGAATACGCCCTCCAGGACTTGAGTGTGAAGTCCCCATTTCCCCAGGCACAGCTGCGACATTAAGTGGGGACATTAGCAGGTGGTCTTCCTGCAGCTCCACTGACGGAAGACATGCAGGCAGGTGCTCCAGGGCCCTCCATGGCCAGCCTGTTGGGGTTCCCCGGCTCCACTGCCCGGAGCCTAGTCCCCTAGTGTCCCCTGCCAGCTGTCAAATGACATCGTTAAGTTTTGCAAAGACTCCGCCAGGATTGCTGAAGCGCCACACTCGCATGTCAGACGTGGGGGTGATGTGTTCGTTCAGCACACTCGGCGTTCTTACTTCAGCCTGAGTGCTGAGTTTCCTAACTGAATGATGGGGAAAGAAAAAGTCATGACCCTCCCAGGAAGATGGCCCTGAACAGTCCCCTACTTTCTGACGGGACTTGGGGCAAGGGCTGTTTATCCAGTGGAGACAATTACAGGGGTGCTTTAGCACAGCCGAGACCTGCGCAGGCTCGCTCACATCGACCCAACAGGAGTCAGGTTTCTGAAGATGTGTTGGGTGTTGACCTCATAAACAGAGGATGGCCAGTTAAAAGGTGATTTTCTTACACAAAGCCAAGCGACATCCTTCAGGAAGCTCACTCATTATCCAGGGAGAAGTGAAATCATAGCATTTCAAAGCTGGGAGAACCTCAGAAGTGGTCTGGTTTATCCTCATAGACCACAAAATGGAGCGCCAGAGAGGGTTTCAAGGCTTCCTCACGCTGCACAGCCCACGGTGCTGGAGCCGCCCAGAAAGCCCCGGCCTCGGCTTCCCGGTCCACCTTTCCTTCCCATTTCCAATGGGTTTAGGCACCAGGCAGAGAGCACTGATTGTGACGGCTGCCTTTTGCTCCATGAGGCGCTCTCACACACTGTATGTTTCAGAAAGTATGCAGGAAGTGCACGATTTTTTCATCATGGGTGTTTTCTGTGAACTTTCTAAACACCTCTGAATGCATGACTTTCAAAATGTTTTGCACCAAAATAAACTTATCTTTTAATCCCATTTTCCAAAAACTTTTTGAAGTCCCCTTGTGTGCTGAGACACATGGGTTGGAGCACCTTTTAAGCTTTTACTCTTTCCTTCCAGTCCAAAGTGTCCAAAGGGAGCATTTTTACCTTTTATAAAAATTGCTCAGAGGGGCCTGCACGGTGGTGTAGCGGGTAAAACTGCTGTCTGCAGTGCCAGCATCCCACATGGGCACTGGTTCAAGTCCTGGCTGCTGCACTTCCAATCCAGCTCTCTGCTATGACCTGGGAAAGCAGTAGAAGATGACCCAAGTCCTTGGGTCCTTGCACCCACGTGGGAGACCTGGAAGAGGCTCCTGGCTTCACATCAGCCCAGCTCCAGCCATTGTGGCCATTTGAGGAGCGAAACAGCAGATGAAAGACCTCTCTCTCTTTCTGCCTCTGCCTCTTTGTAGCTCTGCCTTTCAAATAAATAAATAAATTTTTAAAAAATATTTTCTGTTTTGTAGAAATCATCATTTCTATTGCAAAAATGTAATCTCACTTTTCCTATCTTGATCTCCATGGAGGAGTGTATAACTGGACATCTCGTCTACATTCTAGAATAAAAGATTCATTTTGAAGCTAGCAGGAAATGGGATTTCATGGATAAATGAGCCATACCTTATTAAGGTAATCAGGTGGGCTGAAGGAAAAAAAAAGGGAGTGATTTTTAGAATGAGTTTCATGGGCTTGTTCACAGTAAATCTGAAGTAAACCACGAATTCTTCAAATTAGAGAAGACAAAATGTGAGAGCGCAGAAAAGTCTGTGGAGGCAGGGAAGAGACATAAAATCAAACAAGCAGGAGAGGACCAAGCTCGCTCCCACGAGGAAGGATCCCGCCCCTTTAAGAAGGGAAGTGCGGGTTAAATTGCATTACTACATGGTGCTTGCCCTGAAATCACAACACCCATCACCTGATGGACCGAACTGTGCGCTGCTGAGGCCGCACGTGCTGGGTTTCCCACCATCTCCAGCTCAGCAAACACAGCTCAGAGCCCGGCTAGGCTGTGGCACTCTGCTGTGCGCTGGAGGCACCCCAGCGGCCACACTGGGTCCTTAGCTCCAGGAGGTTCACCTGCAGTCTCAGGGGAGGTGGACTTGTGAGGAAGGAAGGAATTGAAACAGAAGTGATAGCGGTGAGACTGCAGGGAACTTGCAAAAGTGCGAGGGAAAGTGAAATTCAAAATATTTTAATACACGTTTGTGTTGGTGCAAAACCTGTGAAGTCCATGTAGGCTTTTTTCATAACGTGCATTTTCATGAACTTTCTGAAGTCCCCTGGTAGCCAGGAGCCAGCAGAGCAGGGGCCCAGATCAAGCCTGGGAAATCATTTGCTCTGGTCCTGGTCCTCAAGCTCAATACATTTTCTAGTTGATAATTTTGTGCAGTCTGGAAATGATGTTACAAATATCCAAACGGCCCTTGGCAGAAAAAAAGGCTCCCCAGCCCGGCTACAGGGAGGAAGGAAGACTGTTCACCACCCAGCAAGCAACTGAGTTTGGCTGAGTCTCTTCACCTCCATCCAGGGCAAATCGAGTCTCCTCCAGGCCTCTGCTTTCCATATCAATATCTTAGCACATTACAAACCCGACTGCATCATTCACGTATGTGCATAAGCATATGTAACGGCTGATGTCTCATCCTAACAATATTCACATCCTACTTATTGTGTGCTGGGTCCATGTTCAGATAACGACAGCCTTTAGGAACGGCTGTGGCAAATGCACAAACCTACTTTAAAATCGAATGCAAAACTAGACATAATGACTAAGGAAACAGAACACAAGGATTTAAAAAATGGAAGTAAGAAGGAAATTGTGTCCAAAATTGTTTTCTCATTGGCAAACAACGAACATTTGTTAGCTGCCAGTATTTTAGGAGTTTTCAGCCAGTTCGCACGTCCTAGATCGCACTCATAGCACATTCTCATTTGCTAGCGGTACAGTTTTGTGAATTACTCCACACTGTACACGTGCACGGCCCTTGGCCCGCGCTTATCTCAAAGGGAACCGAACTGGTGAGCCAGTAGACCTTGTGCCAAATTAGCTGATGTTTACCTGGCACATTCGGAAAATAAACGCACACCCTCCCCCCTTTCCTCTTTAATCTCTAACGTTTGCTTTGCGGTACGTCTCTCGGCCCACGCAGCGACCCGCGTGAAATGATGGCGCGCATCCTCAGCACCCCCGTTCTGAACTCGTGGATATCAGGGCCACGGCCAGTCACTTCTCACCGAGGAGGCGAGGTCGGTCGCCCGACTGGCGCGGCCGCGGCAGAGCGCGCACTGCCCGCTCCCTAGCGCGGCGCCGGCTCCTCCAAGAACTCCGGTCAGAGTTTTTCCACTCGTGTCAATTCTGTACACTTACACACACCATCACGGCATACAGGCCAACAAACAAGAGCGTGGAATTAAGCTTAAAGTACTGCCGGAAAATAAAAACCCAAAACTTAAAAAGTTTCTTAAAACAATGTGGGCGAATCCATCTCCTTTCCACGCAATCCCAATGCAGGTGCAGCGCGTGGCTGCCCGGTCCCCTCCAGAGTGTTCAGCTACACTGCAGTCCTTAAGACTGAAGGCTGGAGCAGCCCCGGGCGGGGACACCCCCAGGAAAATCGCTCCAAGGCAGACTTGAGCCCTCCATCCAGGCGAACGGGCTCTCCGCCGAGAGCAGAGAAGGAAGGGCAAGAATCCTGAACTTCCCCGGCGGCCCCGCTGTCTGGCCCTGCGGCTCCCACATCCTTGCCCAGAACCCCGAAGGAATTGCTTGGGTCTGCGACCCGCACACGTGCGCGCTCTCGCCTTCGGGCTCCTTGTGCCCCGCCCGGCGCCGGTCTCCCGGGCGCCCCAGCCCGCTTACCCCGCTCTGCCGCGGCGGCGACCCGGGCGCGCTCCTCCCTGAGCAGGGCTCCAGGCCGCTCTGAAAAGGAGAATTCTTTTTACACGTGCGGTGCAACTTCACGCGTGCGCCCCGCGCCTGGGCCCGGCCTCCCAGCCCCGGCCGCCATCCCCGCCGCCCCAGTGCACGCTGCGCTCGGGGGCGCCGCAGCCCCGGCCGCCGCGCCACGCCCCCGCCGCCTGCGACCCAGTCCCAGGCCTCCCGGGGGCGGCGCCAGGGCCAGTGAGCCCCCATTCCGCTCTCGCCGCGCTGCGTACCTGCGGCCCCACCTGCGCTCGGCCGCATCCCCACTCTGTACCTGCACGTGCACCTGCACCCTTAGTCCGCGCGTCCTTACACCCTGCGCTCGCAGCCGCACCCCGCACTCATGCCCACTTCCCCACTGCGCACCCACACCTGCACCCCGCACCGCACACCCTAGCTGGCCTAAGGGCTCGGCCACTAGGGTGTGGAGACGGGGGGCTCCTCCCAGCCGCTCCACACCCTTCGGAGCCGTTCCCACCGCCTCGGATGGGAAGAGCTGAGAGCCCGGGCTCCTGGCTGTCCTGCCTCGGGGAGACCCCCTCCGCATGTAGGTGCGCCCTCCGGCCCGCTTGCGCGCGTCTTAGACCCCCGCATTGCGCGCCTCTAGTAGGGGCGCGTGGGCGTCCGGGCTCCTGGGTCTGCAGCGTGCGGCAGCTTGGACGACGCAGGCCCTGGACATGGATGGCCGGGTCGGGCCGAGGCTAGGGCAGCCGAGCGGGGCGCCCGGGCCAGCCAGAGAGGGCCCAGTGGAGGAGCCCTCATAGCGCGGTGCTGTGGCGGCGGGGCGCCCGGCGAGAGGCTGCTATAAATAGCGGCCCCCGGCCTGCTTCCCGTCAGACACACTTAATTTGGCCGGCAGTCATACGGATTCTTACTTTTTTTTTTTTTTTAAAGGACGAGTTCCAGTGCCTTTGGAACTTGGCCCGGCTTGCGATGGTGGGGAGGTGTTCCCCTCCTCGAGTCGCCGTTCCGGGGAGATGCGGGGTGCCGCACCAGATGAAGTAAATGAGCTGCCCGACAGAAACCCGCCGCTGTCTGCTATTGTCCCCACTCAATTCAGGCAGGACACAGGAGCCCTCTGCCTCCCAGCGCCTGGCACGGTTTGCTAGACATGAATGAACGTCGAGGATTGCTCTGAAAGCTGAAAGCCGTTCAAAACTTCCCTTTAGGAGTGATGGATTAATTGCATGGATGAGGCAGACTTGGAGCCTCTGGGTGCCTGAACAGTAGAGCTAAGATCCACTCTGATTGGCAATCAGCTCGCCCCAAAGAAGTTACTTGTCCTGTGGCGATCTGAGTTCAAGGTCATTCTCAGCAGAAAGGAAACCAAGTTTGTGAAGGCCCTTGGAGGTGTGTGTAGGCGAGAGGTAGCAGTTGTGCAGACTTAACTTGTCTTTAATTGAGAAAGTTCACCCTAAAAGGTCTTCAAATACTTCCATTTTTTCTTCATTTCTTATTCTCTCAGAGCACAGGAACGGATTCTATTTATTTTTTCTTGATCACAAAAGCACTAAAAGTTCTTTCTTTCTTTAAAAAAAAAAAAGATTTATTTATTTATTTGAAAGAGCTACAGGGAAGAGAGGCGCGCGGAGGGGGCCGGGGGAGTGTTGGTCTTCCATCCACTCCCCAGATAGCTCCAACGGCTGGAGCTGGGCCAATCTGAAGCCAGGAGCCAGGAGCTTCTTCCAGGTCTCCCACGAGGGTGCAGGGACCCAACGATTTGGGCTGTATTTTACTGCTTTCCCAGGCCATACCAGAGAGCAGGATCGGAAATGTAGCAGCCAGGACTGGAAGTAGTGCCCATATGGGGTGTCAGCACTGCCGGCAGTGGCTTTACCCACCACACCACAGCACCAGCCCATAAAAGTTCTTAATACTCGTGGTCTCTGCCAAAAACTATTATTGAAACGCCAAGGGTTAAAAATGAAAGTAGACTTTTGTGATGACTTAAAACTGTTCATGAAAAATGCAAATTGAGGTGTAGGCATTTGCCCAGTCATTAAAACGCTGGCATCTCACATCCAAGTGCCCGGGTGCAAGCTCTGGCTCCAAGTCCACCTTCCTGCTAATGCACACCCTGGGAGACGGCGGCGAGGGTTCAGGTGGTTGGCTTCCTTCTACCTGCATGAGAGACCTGGCCTGAGTTCTCAGCTCTCCGCCCAGGGCTCCCGTGTGCATGTGGGGAGTGAACCAGTGGATGGGAGTGCTTGCTTGCATGCCCCCTCTCAACTATATTTGATAACCCAAATAAATATCTGATTTACGGCCATGTTATTCATAATAATCAAAAGGTGGAAACAATTCACTTATCTCTTGATGAAAGGATAGATAAAACCAAATGTGCATACACTGGAATATTGTTTAGCCTTAAAAAGGAAGGAAATTCTGATTCATGCTACACCATGGATGAAACTTGAGAACATATGCTAAGTAAAAAAAGCCAGTCATAAAAGTTACAAATAGGGGCTGGCACTGTGGCTTAGCAGGTAAAGCTGCTGCCTGCAGTGCTGGCATCCCATATGGGCGCAGGTTCAAGACCCAGCTGCTCCACTTCCCATCCAGTTCTCTGCTGTGGCCTGGGAAAGCAGTGGAGGATGGCCCAGGTCTTTGGGTCCTTGCACCTGCATGGGAGACCTGGAAGAAACTTCCTGGCTTCAGATCGGCACAGCTCCAGCGGTTGTGGCCAATTGGGGAGTGAACTAGCAGATGGAAGGCCTCTATCTCTCTCTCTGCCTTTGCCTCTCTGTAACTCAACCTTTCAAATTGAATAAATAAATCTTTTAAGAAAGTTACAAATAATGTATATCATTCCACTTACGGGAGGTACCCAGAGTAGGCAAATTCATGGGGAGAGAGGAAAGTATTGCATGCCAGGGGCTGGGAGAGGAGACCAGGGGAGTTAATGTAAGTGGGACAGAGATTCCGTTTAGGAAGATGAGGCGTTCTGGAGGTAGGTGGTGACGGCTGCATGACAGTGTGGCTGTACGCAGTGCCTCAGAACTACACACTCAGACATGGCTAGAATGCAAGGTGGGCATTTGGGGCAGTGGGTAGCTAGCCTGCTCCTGTGCTGGGATCCCAGCTCTACCGCAAAGAGGTGGGCAGTAGAACAGCTGTTCCAGAGCCTCAGAAAGGCATGAGCAAGGGCGGGACGCAGACGGCGTGGTTCTCAGGCACAGGCGCAGCTGGGCAGCAGCGGTGACTTCGGGTGTGCTTGGCACAGGAGGATATCCATGGTTGACAGCAATTAACTGAGGCTTTCCAAATAGCCAGGAGAGAGGATTTGGGGCTGCCCACGTGGTGTATTGTAGTGCTTGGCTCGAGTCCCAGCTTTTCTGCTTTGGCTCCAGTTTCCTGCCAATGTGGACCTTGGGAGGCAGCAAAGATGGCTCAAGTACTTGGGGCCAGTCCCCCGATGTGGGAGCCCCAGAGTGAATTCCCCAGCTCCTGGTCAACCTGGCCCAACCTAGCTATTGTGAGCATTTGGGGGAGTGGACCAGTGGATGGGAGATCTTTCTCTCTCTGTGTGATTCAAGTAAAATGAAAATAAAGAAATATACTTTTTAAACAATATGGCTAAAATGGTAAATTTTAGGTTAGACATATTTAACTAAAATAAAACAATGCAAAATGATATTGTGTAAAAACTAACTAGTAAAACTGAGAAGATATTCCTTTACACTTGGTAGTGTAATATATTTTCCAGATAGGCTACGAAGATGTTAATCATATGGTTTAATTTTTATTTTATTTATTTATATTTTTAAAGAAGAAAGAGTAGGTTTATTTATTTTTTAAAAAAGATTTATTTACTTGAAAGTCAGGGTTACACAGAGAGAGAAGGAGAGGCAGAGAGAGAGAGAGAGAGAGGGAGAGAGAGAGAGGTCTTCCATCTGCTGGTTCACTCTCCAGATGGCCACAATGGCCGGAGCTGCGCCAATCTAAAGCCAGGAGCCAGGAGCTTCTTCCAGGTCTCCCACGCAGGTGCAAGGGCTGAAGGACTTGGGCCATCTTTTACTGCAGAGAGCAAGATCGGAAATGCAGCAGCCGGGACTCGAACCGGCGGCCATATGGGATTCCAGCACTGCAGGCGGGGGCTTTACCCGCTACACCACAGCGCCGGCCCCGGTTTAATTTTTAATTGTAAAGGTTGGTGGCTTCTCATCAAGAAAAATGGTTTAGGATAATTTCAGGGAGAAATACATGTTTGTGTACATATGCAAAAATCAGAGTTGAATTCTTAGCTGATGGAGCCACATTTCCATGTTCTGGTAACATTTGTAGCAAAGAAAGTCACATGGAAAAGGGCTGCCTGTGGTCGCTCCTGGCTTGGAGCCAGGAGCCTGGGCACCCAGGTCTGCAGCGCTTGCTACCTGCCGCTGAGATGTGCTTGTCTCGGTCTCCCTCTGGTGGCAACAAGAGTAGTTGCCTCCCAGGGCCAGAGAACATGAAGGACTCTTGCTGCTTGGTATACACTTAACGGGCGTTCAACACATTGGTGCTGACTGCTTATGTCCTGTCTCAATGCGGCAATGCAGAGTAAACACAGAAACCTTATGTGTGACCATGCTAGAGCAGGATTTAATGGTGGTTTTCTTTAAGCACAAAAGTTTCCCAACAGGACAGCTGAAGTCCCTCCAACTGCTTCTGATAGGACCATACACGTCCCCTCACATGTTGTTAAGACACGCGATCCGTGTGTGGTGGAGGCGAGCAAAGTGGCCTTTGCTAAGTCAGGGGCAGGCTTTGTTTCTGTAGGAGCCTGCCTTTGTGTAGCCGCCTGTTGAATTTTGTGACCATTCTGTTGTAACCCCTTGACTTAGCGTCATGTTCCCGTTTACAAACTGCCCCATCTGGATTGCGTGAGAGTCACGTCCAAGCATCCAGGGTCACCTGTTGCAATCCCTCCCTGGAGCAGTATTTCCCAAGCGCCTTAGGGGCAGTCCCCATCAGAGCCAGTTGCATCAGTGACCGGGGAGCCTGCCCCACTGGTCCCTAGTCCTGGAGAGCTACTGGGGAAGTAGCAGTGTCTGTATCGACTGAACGCCGCTGCTGCTGGCACTTTACTGTTCCTTGAATAGTTCTTTTGCAAATGTTTTCACGTTTAATGCACACAATTGTATGTGTTTTGGGGGCACAGCGTGACATTTCACTATACACATAGCGTGTAATGATCAGAGCAGGGTAACGGGAAGATCCACCACCTTGGACAGGTATCATTTCCATGTGTTGAGAACATTCAAAATCCTCCCGCTCCTAGCCATTTGGAAAGCCTCAGTTAATTGTTGTCAACCAAGGATGTCCTCCTGTGCTAAGCAGGTTAGAAGTCACCCTGCTGTCTGCTGTGCCTGTGGGCCTCCCTGTCTGCCTCCTGCTCTTCCTCACACCTTCTGAGGCTCCGGGAACCACTGTTCTACTCTCCACCTCTTTGAGGTGGACTTTATAGTTAGCACACGGAAAGAATCTTCAAAAAGTTCATGGAAATGCATCTTGTGTAAAAACTATGTATGGTTTTCAAGGTTTTTCTTTTTGCACCAACAGAAATTCATCTTTTAACTGACTTTCCCATGAACTCTTTTAAATACTCCTGTAAACGTGTAAATATACGGAATGTGTCTTTCTGTGTCTGATTTATTTCACTTAGCATCGTGGTCTCCAGTTCCAGCCACGGTGCTGCGAAGGACAGAATCTCATCTTTCTTCTCTATGGCTGAGTGGTATTCCGTTGTGTCTATACACACCACGCTCTCTTCACTCCAGTGGAACCTGGAACTCTGCAATCC